GGTGTCTTGGCCCTAAGGACGCTTCTTCCTCTTCACGCCACACAGGTCTGCGGTGGCTGCAGCACCTCGGTGTGGTCCTGTGCTCTGCAGCTGGCTGGGTAGAAAGGTCCACTTCATCTCTTCAGGGAACTAGATCTCAGTGCTGTGGTGCAGTCAGGCAGCCATGGCGGAGATCATGGCAGGAGGACCTGGTGTCCGTTCCCAGCCCCATTCAGAAGGTTAACAAGGAGCCTGAGTGGAGGAAGGAAAGCCGAGACTGGGAAAGCACCCGATTTCTGCTGTGAAGATCCTTGCCTCCAGGAAAGGAAAGCAAGACTCTTGAATCTGGTGTCTGGAAAAGCGGTTGCTCCTTCCCACTTAAAGTCATTTTCYGATGACCAGAAATCATTGGTCAGCCATCTTTGCATATCCCATGCCGAGTGGCGATTAGTAGCCTTGCTAGAACAATGCCATAGGCCAGCAGTTCCAGAAAGACACCTTCGGGACTGTCTTTCACTCCAGGCCTACCTGTGTCCTGCTGGGCCTAGCCTTTTTGGAGCCCACTCTGGTGTGGCCCCTTGCCACCAGCCCAGATGTGTGTGCCATGGCCTCTGCCTTTGCCCCACCAGCCCTGTCTGGCCCCTGACTCACCACTGATGAGCTTCCTGAACAGGGCTAGCTGCTTGCCTGTCCACTTCAGCTTCTGCAGCCAGAGCCCAGGAAATGCTTCCAGACATTACTGTAGCTTTCCTCATCTCTCTACTTTAAAAATACCCACTGCACCTCAGTATCTTCAGAATCACGTGAACACACTCGGTGCCGCTGAACTTTCAACTGTGTTGGCAAAACCAGTCCTGGTTGTGAAATGAAACTGTAAAAATGTTATGGTGAGAAACTGGTGCTGGGGAGAGGATCAGTTCCCCTCCCCTCCCCTCTCTCAGCCTTTCTCCAGGAATCCTATTTAACCATGGGTCCCTACCTTTTGAAGTGTAAACAAACACTTGGGATTCTGACTACTCCCTCTTGAAATGTAACAGATGCCTGTGAAAAGAGCCCTTTCTTTTCTTATCTGTTTCTGTGCAAATGCCTTATGTTAGAGACCCTGCACAAGGCCACATAGATTAGGAATTTTTTTTTTAAAGGAAAAAGCCCCAATAATAAGATGGGTCTAAGATGATGCCAAATAACCTATAAACCTATAAACGTTTATGTGTTGTGAGAAACTGTGGATTAGGGCTCAGAATTTAGAGTTTTGTTTTCCTCTGGGCCAACTAGTGTATAATAAAGTTTGGAGTTCTCCTCTCTGAGTGCTGCTTGCTGCTTCTTGACCAGTCTGTTTCCTGCAACAAAACTGCACATAGGGGCTGGGGCTGGGGCTCAGGGGTAGAAAGCTCTCCTAGAATGTGCGAGGCACTAGGTTCTATCCTCAGTACCACGTAAAAATAAAAACAAATAAAAATGAAAGTATTGTGTCCAACTACAACATATATATATATATCTCCATCCTGCATGTAAAGGAGTTGACATGGGGCTAGGGGTGCAGCTCAGTGCTGGAGTGCTTGCCCTGCGGGCGTGAGACCCCAAGTTCCATCTCAGCACTGGGGAAAAAATTAATTAATGGCAAATTTTACATCACATGTAATTCAGTACATTCCTCCAGAAAGCACAGTTTTTCTCAGAAGGTTTGTATTGTGTCTGCTGTCATGCACACTGGTGTCCGATTGGCACCTGGGGTTTATGTTCCTGCAGTAGCCAGGTTACTGATGGCACTTCCAGTCTTTAGTACCTTCAGTGTAAGAAATCTGCAGTGCCACAGGCGAGGGTTACTGGCAGGAAAGCAAGGGCACATGTGCGCCCTTTTGCTAGCTGGGCACCTGGGAACCAATGCAATTTCRTTTGTGTGACGGAAGGGTGCCGGGTGTGCTCTTTGGAGTCTTGGAGTCCCAGGTACTTGCGTGGGCTCTAGAGGGTCCAGATGGTAACATGACACAGAGGAGCCCTAAAGCCAGCTGCAGCATGGTGGCACTCTGGCGCTCATGCTGACCAACCTGTTAGACACTTGTATCATGTAACCTCATGAGGATGCTGGGAAAAGCCAATGAGATACTCTGTGTGAAAGGTATTTGAGAAATATTAGGAACTGTGGAACTAGAGGGACTTATTAGTTATTAATAATTTAAGGAGCATAAGTGTTCTTTACAACTCAGGAAACAAATGTGTGGCCATCATGATTAAAAGCCTTGCCTCCCCAACCTGTTGCACCCTCCTTAGTATTTACCATCCTTGCGGATGCTCAGTTCCTATCCTTCTCAGAGGTCTGCTGCTATCCAAAAAAGGAATGTCATCATGTCCTGTGGTATTTATGCCGTAAGCCCAAGAACTCAATTGAAGAACAAGCTCCTTCAAAGCTCCGGAAGCTGAATGAGCAGCATTCTGTAACACCATTCTCTGGACCCTGTTGCTGAACCATGTGGTAAATAAGTCAGTCTGTACTGGGAAGAGCACTTTCTTGCACTAAACTTCATTCTACGGGTTTGAGATGGCTGGGTTACTGGGGCACCACACACACAGCTCTTCACTGTGCCCAGCCCTGTCGGGCGCCATCTGGGTGTGTGTTATGTCGTGTTATGTTCAGACACCGTATTTCAGGCCAATTAGAGATAATGCAGTGCTCTCTTCAGGAACTAGTGCAGTCTTCCCGTGTCTTCTTGGTTTGCCTCTATCCTATGGCCTGTCCCCAGCTGGACACCGTGGCAGTGCACCCAGGTTCTCAGACTCACCGTGGCTCACTGCCATGCCTCCCAAGCTGGAGACTTTCTTGGATGAAGCAGTTCTGACATTGTGCTCTGTGGAGAGCCACACTGAGTGACCACACCTTCCAGTCCTGATGCATCAGGATCTGAAAGATCACTGCAGTGTGGCGCGGTAGTGCCATTAGTGCCATGACTGGGGACTCGGTCTTCTCCCCCACTCGGACAGCAAGGCCAGTTGTCTGAGTAGGCACACCTGGGGTAGAGCTACACTCACCTGTGCTTTCGTAATCCTACCCCTTTGCCCCGTTTGGGATAGAATGTTCCATGGAAACGCCCTTTGTGTGTCCCCTTCTCTTGCTCTGCCTTTGAGTGTGGCCTTCCTAGATGTCAGTCAACCTGCTGACAGCAGACATCAGGAAGCTAGGCTCAGCCCCCCCAAACCTGACCCCCTGCCTCATTTGAATGGCTTCTCCCCAATAAAAGGGGTCATCACGTGCGCGCTCGCTCGCGCTCGCTCTCTCTCTCTCTCTCTCTCTCTCTCTCTCTCTCTCTCCCTCTCCACAGTCCCCCAACATCAGAGCACCCGTCACAGCCTTCGATGACAAAGGTATCTCTGTCTCTTGTGTGATTATTT